GAGGGGCATCGCACCGAGATGACCGGGATAGTCAGGTTGGAGAAGCTTTCCAAATTCTTGTAGATGGCCTGCAACGAATCGTGCGTCTTTTCGGAGAAGGTGCGGATGCGAAGGAGGTCCTATATGCGTGGATGGGGGAATGTCAGGACGGGGAACTGGATCTGTGAACAGGCCGATGCTGTTGGCGTGCGTGCGTGTGCGTGTGCGTATGCGTGGGCAGAGAGAGAGAGAGAGAGAAAGGGAACAGGGTATGGATGGAGCGGAGAGGGGAAGGCAGAGGGGGGGCCGTGTAAACCACGGCCAAAACTTGGCGAACAAGGAGGAGAGGAATGAGGGCGGTGGAAGGATGCGCGAGGCAGCGGTGTACCTTGCAATAGGACGTCAACATGTCGCAGTCCAGGAGACGCGACGTGCCGCCTGGCTGGGCGGTGATGTAGGAGACAACCTCCGCTTCGAGAGGCTTGTCATTGGAGCCGAATAGCTCCGCCGTGTAGGGGGTCACCTGTGGGGTGGGGGTGGGGACAGGGGCTTTCCCGGGGACCGCCATGGATAGGGCCCGGCCCGGGAGCTTCGAGGCAGACGACATCGGCGGCGGGTGGGACTGGGGGAGGAGCAGACGGGAGGGCGGGGGAGGTGGAGTATGCGTCTGGGTCTGTGTGTGCGTATGTGAAGCGAATAGCTAGAGAGGATAGACGGTAGGAGGGGGAGGGGAAGGGGGGGGGGGGGCGGGAGGAAGGGAAGCGTGTGCCTGCGGTTCCGCCAGCACGGGGGGTCAGTCCTGCGGCGCTTCAATGCGTGGGGGCCAACATGCATGGTCTGGCGGGTGGGATGTGCCGGCCGGTGTCAGGCCGCCCAGGCGAGCGAGGTGCCGGCCGTGTGTCGGTGCGCGTTCTCCCGCGGGCTGGGGGCGCAGTGGAGCAGGGCGAGGGAAGAGCCCCGAAGCCATGGTGACCCCACACAACCGTCCGGGCCCTCCCAATCATCACCCGGTCAGTCCCTCGGTTGGGGATCGGCGGCCGCACCGAGGGGTGATGCTTTCATGGAAGATTGTTGTGAGAGCGCGAGCCGGCCCAAACACCTGTACATGGCTGCCCCTTTGCCGTGCGAGGGCGGGGGCGGCGGGGCGCTG